GTCCTGTGTTTCGAGACAGGGTCTTGCTGTGGAGTTCAGGCTCACCATGGAGCTCACCGTGGGGCCCTAGGACCTGGTGGGCCCGTACCAGTCCACTGTGCGGCCTCCCTAGGCTTGGGGAGGGCAGGCGTCACCTTGCCCACGTTAAGCACCATCTTCCATGCTGGGTTTTTCCTAGGACTTTGTGTGCATGACCAGTGAGTAAATGTCTGGAACAGCATTCATTTCAGCTTCTCTCTTTCCATGGTGTTAGGCAGGGCACCCCGGGGCTTGTGCTCCGGTATTGTAAACCCAAAAATAGAGTTCAGTCACCCGAGTATTGTAGTCTTTCTAGTCTTCCTCACAATCCAAAAAGTTATATTTGTAATCCCATTGAGATGTTTTTGCAATCCCAGCTGATCAATTCCAATCTACCATCACCAGTGCAATCCATGGCGAGAAAGCATATTCCAAGTTAAGGGCAGCCAAGGGGTCCTAAATCCATTTCCCGTGAGGACATCTGGACAAAGGCCTTGTTCCTAGGCCTCTCCCAGCATTTATTCTCTTGTGAAAAAAGGGGAGGTAGCTCAGGGATGAGTGATAGTCAGGATGTGTGTGGGGGGTGTGTTACTGAATAACTTGAGCTGGCTGGCTAGGTGCAAGAATGGCAGCTCTGTAATTTGCAGAGATAAAGATATGCAGGGGACTGGGGATTTAGCTCAGCTGCATAAGCACCTGCCTTGCAAGCAGGAAGTTGTGAGTTCGATCCCTGGTACTGATAAAAACGAAAAAGACCAAAAAAAAATAAGAGAGAGAGAGATAAAGATATGCAGAAGAATCAATTTACATAACCCAATTAAGGTAATAGTGGAATTATTTTGGGAGGCTGTGGTTTGTAATATGCAAACTCTTGTGCCCTGGGGAGTCACAGCCTCTTATCTTTAGGCTCCTACCCCGTTGACATTCCTTGAGCTGTTTGCTGTAACATCTCACCAGCTCAATCCTGTATGTGGAGAGCACCATGTGAGGAAACAGGACTGTCTAATGGCTATAGATTTTGCATATTAGCACCTTGGCTAGCCTTACTTGTAATGCTTAAAGCCAATTGAAGAGAGAAGGAAATACCCTAGCCAGTCTTTTACATATCAGTATAAGGAAATCAGTCTCCAAGTAATCAAAGTCACAGTAATTGTTTTGGATTCAGAGAGAATCACTGGAGTTGTCTCCCACACTCAGGGAGGCAGGTGCCCACCTGAGCCACGTTCCCACCCTCTGCTTTTTTTTTTTTGAGACAAGGTCTTGGTGTAGCCCAGGGGATCTCAAACTTACAGCAATCCTGCCCCAGCCTATGAGTACTGGGATTACGGGTCAGCAGTCAGCTTTACATCACTTTTAAATCAACTTTTTTGTAGTTACTTTTCCTTTTTTTTTTTGTATATTTACGATGAACATACTATTTTGGTGTAGCAGTGCGTATAAACAATGTGTAGAAAACTACATCTTCATACATTAGCAATGCCTGATGCCAGTATTTTAGTGTAAGAATATGCGGCAAAAGTACGTTTGATGCTCACTGGCCTAGATAATTTCTTACAGGTAGGCAAGGAGAAATACAAAGATATGAACTGAAGCACTGTTGGGAAAACTGGGAATCAACCCACATGTTCGTAACACAAGAACAGATCAACTAGCGGGCGTGGTGGTGTCCACTTAAGTCCCAGCACTGGCAGGCTGAGGCAGCAAGGCTGTGGCAAGGGCCAGGCCAGCCTGGACTATGGAGAGCAGCTCTGTCAGAGACTAACCAGGCGTGGTCAGGCTGTGAAACACTGCACAGGGTGTCTGCACCAGGCAAGGGTTACATGCATCCACACGGGTTTAGGTGGGAGCATTAACACTGTTCAAGGGAGGGAAATTAGGGTGAGAATCACAGCAGGGCAGCGTGCACCAGTGCTCACATACAGGTGCAAAGTCATGTTCACTGCTGGCCCTGTGTTTACAGAGCCACCCAAGAAGGGCTACACCCAATTCAGGGGTACGGGAGGAGGGTTTTCAGGGTTTTTTTTTTTTTTTTTTTGAAAGTAGTAAAAAACAACAGAACAAAACAGAATAAAGCCAACTGAGACCGTGTAGTGAAATTGGTACAGAACTTCACAGCAGGTTACCGGGATAACAGTAATATGCATCACAGTATATTTCATTATCTTTACAATAGTTGTTCTTTCAATCATATATATAAAAATAAAATGAAATACAGAACATTATAGAACTTGTAAAAACAATTATTGAATAGAGCAGTACCATTAATCAGAATAAAGCAAAACAGTAATATAATTTGCCTTCAAAGCGATGGTAGAAGGAAATCCCCCTTATTTGCTATGGTCAACCTCCCAGGAGATGCTCAGATTTCTGGTTCCCATTTGCTAACAAGGGGACAGGAGAAAGGGGGATGTTTGACTCTAGGCCATGCACCAATAGATTCACTATTGCTTAGCAGGGAGGCATGCTGGTTGCTTGGTTTCCCAGTGCCCTAAGTTCCAACATGGTGTGGCTCTCAGAAGACACTGGTGGTTCTCCCCGTGGAAGGGCTGCAGTCTGCCACACCACAGCCACTTACCAGGGAGGGGAACTGCTTCCTTGGTTTCCCAGCATCCTAAGTTCCAACATGGCGCAGATCTCAGGAGACACTGGTGGTTCTCCCTCTAGAAGGGCTCAGGAGGGGGGTTTTAAACACTTTTTATTTCTTTTTTGTTCCAGGGCTTGGGATTGCACCTGGGGCTGCGCTGAATACACGGTCTCTTACTGAACTCTAGCCCCAGCCCCCAAATAGGTTTTCTTCCTTTCTTCCTTTTATTTTGTTTTTTGGTCCTGGGGATCAAACTCACAACCTCACACTTGCCAGGGAGGCGCTTTCGCTGCTGTGCTACATTCCCAGTCTAGCTTTTATTTTTTTTTGTCTTTTTCCTTTTTATCGGTACCAGGGATTGAACTCATGACTGTCTGCTTGCAAGGCAGGAGCTTATGCCGCTGAGCTTTTATTTCTTAAAAGATTCAAGGTAACAAATAGCTCACAAATAGGAGCAGGTGGCAAGGCCCTGAGTGCAGGGGTAGTGAGTGGATCGGCTCAGTGTCAGCCCATCTCCTCTTCAAGGACAGTGTCCAGCGTGGACACTCACCTTATTCCAACCTCTTTCCAGACCACACTGGCAGCAAACACTGCCCATTCTTCTGAACTTTAAATATTTCCTGAATTTGCTGCATAGCGGTATATACAAAGCTTATGTGTATGAATTGTGTGTGTGTGTGCATGTGTGTGTGTGTATGAGAGAGATGTTCCCTAGGCTCAACCTTCCAGGTGAGGGGACTACAGGCACATGCCACAGGCAGGTAAAGGAAGTAGTGGTTTTGCTTTGTGTGTATGCACATGGGACCTCTGAGCCACAGGTCCAGTGTTCATTTTCTAGCCACACAACACTGGCTTTGGGAACCAAAGAGAATGGAGAATGGAGACTGTTTCTGTCCTCTCATCACAGAAAGCATCTCGATAGCGCATGTCCTTATCCTTTGGCATACAATAGTGGTTTCATAAGAATTGCCTGGAGGAGCAAAGCCAGACACAATCCTATGAAAGCTGAGCCAATCCACTCGCTACCCCTGTACTCGGGGCCTTTCCACCTGCTCCTAGGCTGCCACAATGAGCTGCAGACTTTCTCTGCCCACCCTGGGCTTCAACAGCAACTTCCTTTCACCCGAGCTGTGCCAGGCCTGCCAGGAGGCCTTCCAACCTGAGGAGAAATGGTACATCCTTGCAAATTTAATCAGTACATTTAAAAGACTATTAACGTCATTAAGAATCTTTTTTTTTTAAGAACCTTTTTAAAATCCTACAGGACTTTGACATTTTCTAAACCTCAGAGTAGCTTGTTATAGTGTATGAAGGCATTCAGATTTTTTCTGTAAACTTGTCATTTGCCATATGCATGAATCTGTTTCACAAGAATTTTCTTTTTGTTATTGTTTTTTGAGACACAGTCTTACTACGTAGTTCAGACTGATCATGTAGCCCAGGCCATCCTCCTGCCTCAACCTCCCAAGTGCTGGGATTACAGGTGTGCACCACCACCCCCAGCCTAACATGAATTTTTTAAAACTCAAGTCAACTGTTACTTTAGTACTAAGCTAGCCAAGGAGGATGCTCTTAAAAGTTTAGTGTGGAGAGCCTTCACTCAGTTTGTAAAGTCTGTTGATACCTTAGAAAATCTTTTGTCAGCTGAGTACACTGGTGCATGTCTGTAATCCCAGCTACTCGGCAGGCTGAGACAGGAAGATCACAAGTTAGACGCCACCCTGGGCAATTTAGACTCTGTTATCAAAAGAAAAAAATAGTCTAGGGCTGTAGCTCAGTGCTAGAGCACTTGCCTAGCACGTAGGGGACTGTGGGTTCCATGCCCCGCACTGCAAAAACAGAAACAAGAGTCCTCTGCAAGGTCTACCGCAGTGCGAGTAGCACGTGCAGAGTCCTGGTCAGGGGCCTGTCAGAAAGTTAAATGGAAAAAGGGTCATTTGAGGACGTGAAGGCTAGCCCAGCTTCTGGGGCTTGCACTCTGGCTCAGTCGCACGCAGAAGCCGGGGCACAGCGGCCCTAACTCCGACACGTGTGCCTGCGCCGCATGGAGAGCCCAGGCGCTGGCAAACCGGGCATCTCCTGGGCACCCCGCCCCGCTCCCCGGGCTGCCGGCCCTGTGGTGCAGCCTGCGGACGGCCACGTTGGTTTGCAGGGCTCGGCCGCAAGGTCGCGCTCCAATTAGGAAGGCTTCGCCGCCCGCCGCCCGCCGCCCGCCGCCCGCCGCCCGCCGCCCGCCGCCCGCCGCCCGCCGCCCGCCGCCCGCCGCCCGCCGCCCGCCGGGAAAAGCCCAGCGAGCTAAACCAGCGCAGAACACTTGTAAAGGGCCGGTGTGGCCGCGCCCCTGCCTGCGCCGCCACGTGACCTAGCACCGCCCAATGGGTGGGGCTTCGCCGGAGCATGCGCACTGGTCCACTGTGCGGCCGTCCGGCAGTGCCGTGGGCGCCTAGGGGGTGAGCAGGACCCCGGCCCCAAGATGGCGGCGCCCAGCGAGGCGGCCGCGGCTTTCCCCTCCCCTGGCGATGGCGGCGGCGGGGGTTTCGGGTCCTGGCTGGATGGGCGTTTGGAGGCTCTAGGATTGGATCGAGCGGTGTATGGCGCCTATATCCTCGGCGTCCTGCAAGAGGAGGAGGAGGAAGAGAAGCTGGACACTCTGCAGTGCATCCTTTCTGCTTTCCTGGTGAGAGGCGGACCCCGCTCGGCACGTGGCTCCCCTTTGCTTGGGGTCACGGAGGTCCATGGGCCCTACTAGGAGAACACGCAGCCGGCCTGAGCTCGGGGCCGCGGGGAAGGTCCCGCTTCCCTGCCGGGCTTGACGCCGGAAGGTCACGAACCCGAGGGGCGCTCGGCGCCCTCTGAAGACCCATGTGGGCTGGGGTTCGGGGTAGTGTGAGCGGGCGTCCTCAAAACCGGGCCTGTTGCCCTCGATCTTAGTGTTCAGCGCGGGGAGCAAAGCGCTCTGGCTGACTGCCCGCTGGGAGGCAGCGTCTGGGGCTGGCCTTGCAGCGGCCGGGAGGAAGTCCCGTCTCAAGTGGGAGTCCAAAAAAGGAGCGGGTGGCCGAGGTCTCTTCGGGACAGGCGGAATCGACAGCCGCGTTAGGCTTCGGGCCTTCGGTGATTGTTGGTGGTGAGAGATCAGAGAGAAAAAATTTGCTGGCTGGCCTCATAGCAGATTCACCAGTTCACAAACGCGTAGTTTTAAACTTTGTTTACGTAGGAAGGGATCCAGATGCGCAGTCTTGCAGCCGGATGGCCGGTGCCACATTCCTCACGCCCCGCTCCAGCGCAGGTGGATGAGGTACCGTGGTTCTATGTGCTGGTCTGTGGCGTCTCGCAGACTCTTCCCTTTTAAATATGAGTTCAAAGGTAAATTTTCTTCAATTGCTGCTAACTGCTGTAGAAACTAGGGTTGTCTTTGCGTTTGCGGTTTAGAGATCTTAGAAACTTGACTGCTACTGTGAAAATACCAGTCCGGCAAAAGCTTTATCCTTTGGCATCTGTCACAATGAATGGAGAATCAGAGGATATTAGGAATACTGTATAGATGTAAACACTCACATACTACTTTGTAGAAAGTAGGAAATTGTTTCAAATCCAAAAGTATTCTGTGACAGTAGGGGGCATACTAGGAAAAAAAAGAAAAATCACACCGGAAGTGCAGTTCATGGGCACGTGACTGAAGTGGTTGATTCCAGGCAGCTGCCCCAGGTCCCTCTGGCAACAGCCCTTCGAGCCTCAACTTGTTGCGTTGAGATCGAACAGCAGCTTAGGAGTTGGGCAGCAGTTCAGCGCAATGCGATAAAATCTCTTAGACCCTGACATTGCATATTATAGGGTAAGGAACAGGAGACAAGGAACTTAAGTATTTTTTATTTTTCTCTGGCAAGGCTTCATGTACCTGTTCTACCACTGAGCTAACGTTCCACGCCCTTGTTAGATTTTATTTTGGGACAGAGTCTCACTAAGTTGCCCAGACTGGCCTCCAACTTTGATTTTCTGTCTCAGCATCCCAAGTAACTGGAATTACAGGTGTGCTCCACTGTGCCTGGCCCTTGAATTTTGCTTCCAGCTGGGAACTTTCTCAAGACTGCATGAGGAGCTTGTTAAAATACCTTATGTACTTCTGGGTGTCATTCTCTTAGCCAGTGCTTTTCATGGCCTCATTTGGAGCTGTGTGTCTGTTCATAAGGGGAAACGGTTTCTGCTTTGTGCTGCTAACACACTCTTGAGAGAAGAGGCGGTAATCTAGAAAAAATGTAGTACCTTATGTCTGTGTATTGGAGCATAAGCTGCAGAAGATAGAGTCCTCTTTGAGGGTCCCTTACACCTGGTCCTATTCGTGTGCCATGTTTGATTTTCTCATAGCTTTCCTCATCTTCCTGCCTGAAAACTGACTGGGAGGAATTGGGCAGGAATCATACGGTGAAGCAGGGCTCCTGAACATGAAATAGCTGAGGAATAAAAGGGCCAGGGAATGTATGTATGTTGAACACATAATTGAAAGTGCTGTTTTTTGTTTTTTTGAGACAGGGTCTCAGGCTGAAGTCAAAGTATGGCAATCCTCATGCCTCAGCCTACCAAGTGCTGGGATTACAGGCGTATGTTACCATGTCTGGCCGAAGTGTTGCTTTCTGTCAGCGTGTCTGGACACGTGTATGTCAGAGGTCCCTAAAGTTTTTTTTATTTTTCTGAGTCAGGCTCTGGCTGTGTAGCCAGGCTGGCCTGAAACTCACAAGATCCACCTTCTTCAGCTTCTAGTGCTGGGATTGCAGGTGTGTGCCATGATTCCTGCCCCTGACATTATAATAAATTCATTCTAGGAAAAACAGCACAGTCAAATCAGTTGCCAGATTGGGCTGAGATTAAATGTTAGAAATTACCAAGTTTGTTAGCAAGAATTCAAGTAAGTTTCAAAAATGTGGTGTGTGGTCAGGAGCTGGTACCAGGAAAGGTCAGAAAGTTAAGAAACTCACTCACAGTCCTGGCCCAGACCCTGGTGTGTCTGACAGCACAGCCAGCATGGAACAGGAAGGGGAGGTGGCAGGGTTGCTGGTGACGGGTGAGCCCCTCTGCCAGTTCACCCCCAGGGTGGGGCCTGCAGTCTTGGGCTTGCTGTAGCTCGAAAGCTGATAAACCCTGGAGAATGTTCTGTGTCAGCCGAGAAAGAGTTCAGGGGACGAGTTTTGACTGAGGTGATGAATGTTTTGCAACAGAAGTAAGAACCTGGCAAGGCGAGGAAGGGAAAACGGGAGATGCTGGTCAGAGGGTAAAAGCCCAGGGAGCAGAGAAAGGAGACTCAGAAACCTGTGCTCGAGTGGCGACTGTAATAAATGGTGTGTTGTATATTTCAGAATTGCTAGGAAATAGATTTCAGGTGTTTTCACACAGAAAACCAGTATCTGAGGTAAACCTGTTAATTACCTTGATGTAATTAATCTATAGTAGAAACATCAAAACATTACATTGTACCCCACAGTTATTTACAGTTGTTGTCAGTTAAAAATACAACATACACACATTTATCTACCTGCTCTTTGAGATGGGGTCTTCCTGTATCTTTTGGTGTGGCCATGAGTTCCCAGGTGTCCGACACTGCAGTAGCCGGCCTAGGCCTGCTCTAGCCCGCTGCCCGGACCCTCCTGGGTTTCTCCCCTTCGGAGCACGTTGATCCTGCAGCCCTTGCAGTGGCCGAAGCTTTCTGCAGCCCTTAGGGTACTCATTGGTCTACTTTTTCTACCAGGAAGAAGACTCCCTCCTCACCGTCTGCAAAGAGATTGTGGAGCGGTGGTCAGAATCTCAGAATGTTGTCCCCGAAGTGAAGAAAGAAGGTAGCGTTGGCCTTTGTATGTCATCCTAGGGCGCTTTGCAGGAGCCTTTGTGCCGCTCGCCAGAGAGACTCTCACAGCCTCCTTGGAACCCTAGTGCCCCGAAGGTGTCCACCAGCAGTGTGCTCTGTGTGCTGCCTGCCCTCCCTGGAGTCAGACTCCGGCTGTTCATACCAAGCCATGTCTCCAGCCTACTGTGTATGTTTTCTTTAAAGGCAGGGTCTCACCAGCTTGTTAAATTGCCTAAGCTGTGCTTGAATTTATGATCCTCCAGCCTCAGTCTCCCAGGGACCTGGAGTTGCAGGTGGCTTTAACTTTTTTTTTTTTTTTGTCTTTTTCATTTTTATCGGTACCAGGGATCGAACTCACAACCGCCTGCTTGCAAAGCAGATGCTTATGCTACTGAGCTAAATCCCCAGCCCTGGCTTTAACTTTTTACTGAACAATGATTTCCTTTCCCCTTTTCCATTTTACCTTATCAGCCTGGCTACAGTGATCTTCACTGGTTGGTTGGGTTGGTCCTCTCCCTCTATTTCCCTGTCTTTCTCTCTGTAGGAGGTTAGGGGGTTACTGGGAATTGAACTCATGGAGCGCTGACCTATCTCCTCAGGCCTTTTTCACTTTTGAGGTAGGGTCTTGCTAAATTGCCTAGATTGGCCTTGAACTTTTAGTTCTCCTCCCTCAGCCCCCTGAGCAGCTGGGAATACAGGTGCGGACAGCCATGGCTTTACATTTGGCTTTTTCATCTTTCTAGGGTCCTTTGCATCTCAGCGTTGTGGGCTCGGGCGGCAGTATCTTTCTCACCTCTCACCTTTCTCATGTTATTTTCTAACAGATTGAGGCTAGTATTGTGCTTGCTTCGGCTATGCTTTTCACCCTAGTTTGTGCGGAAAGGAATGGCCTCATGTATTCAGTGTTAGGATGGTTAAGTGAGTGGAGAAAATGCAAATCATGAAACTCAAACTTGGAAACCACTTGATGCAGTGGTCTGCTGCACTGGCGTCCCGGGTGTGCTGGACAGGGCCAGGCAGTGGTGCTTTCTGAGGCAGGCAGCCCTCCTGTGTGGACAGTTGTGAGAAATGCTGCTTTCTACCCCTCCTGAGCGTGGAAAACTTCATAATTGACCATATTTTATTATATTTTTTACATTTTTGGCTTTTTTTCTGGTAGTAGGGATCAAACTCACAACCTCACGCCTACCAGGCAGGCGCTTATGCCACTGAGCTTAATCCTCAGCTACAGTGTTTTTTTGTTTTTTTTTTCTTCTTGTGGCAAGATCTTGTTATGTAACCCAATTTTCAAACTTGTGATCCTCCTGCCTCAGCCTTGTAAATACTGGGATTACAGGCCTGCACCACCACACTAGGCAGAATACTTGGCATGACAATAAACTCGACTGGGAGCAGCCTGCCTTGGTTGCCATACGGGTGCGTCCCAATCCTTTTCTCTCAGCAGCAGCATGTTGATGTGAACCAGTGGATTGGTGTCCACTTGGGCTGAAGACGGTTGAGGCCTGCTGCCTGCTCCTGATACTCCTGGCCTGAGGCAGCTGCCGCTGATGGCTCTGGAGGCAGCAGGTATGGGGCATGAGTGCCTTCCTCCCGCGTAACTGCCCTGTCCCTTCTTGTGCCCTTCCCAGATGAGGTCCAGGCCATTGCCACACTGATCGAGAAGCAGGCGCAGATCGTAGTGAAGCCTCGGGTGGTGACGGAGGAGCAGCGGCAGAGGAAGGCAGCCCTGCTGGCGCAGTACGCGGAGGTGACTGACGAGGAGGAATATCCTTGCCTGTGGCTCAGTGATCTTTATTTCCTGTTTCTGCCTCTATGATAACAGTGAGCTAAGCCAGGTGTGGTGCCGCAAACAAAAAAATAGCACGTTCAAGGCCAGCCTGGGCCACTTAGTGACTCAGTACGACACTGCCTTAAAAAATAAGGGATGAGGATTCCATCTCTGGTACCAAAAAAAACAAAAAAACATAGCAACTCTTGGTGGCCCTGTGTGCTGTGAGCCCCGATCTGGAGAGCTGAGCTGGTCGCTTACACACATGCAGGCACGCTCACACCCACGCACTCATACATCTGCGTGCTCACAAACATTCATGGAGACATGTTCATACTCGCTCACGTGCACACACATACAAGCTCCCACACAGACACACTTCCATGTACACACACTCATAGCCACTAACCTATACCTGCACACGTTTTGGTGCTAGAGATGGAGCCCAGGGCTTGCACATGCTAAGCACTTGCACTGCTCCTGAGCTGAACCCTGAGTCTGGGGTTCATTTTTAGCACGCTCTCTGTGCATTCCTGAAAACTTCAGTGTAAAACAAATTGTGCCTTAATGGCGTATGTTTTGCAAGTTACCTCTGAGTCTGGCATTGTGTCCTGATAGTATGCTTTGCAAGTTACCTCTGAGTCTGGCATTGTGTCCTGAGCAAACTGGGGCACTAAGAAATCGGAGGCATCAGGACGTGGATGGCAGCTCAGAAACAGATGCCGGGCATTGTGAGGGTCATGCTGAGCTAGGAGCCGTGTCACAGGACTTTTTCCAGTGTGATCATAGATTGCAGTCAGAGGTAGAGGTGAAGGCTCAAGCAACAGCTGAATAAATCAGGAATCTGAGTGGGGACTCTCCAGACAGCACGTGTTGGAAAGTCCACGTGGCTGGCACCTGTGGGCAGAGCATCAGAGGGCATGGCCAGCTTCCAAAATGCACTCACGGGGTGAATGCCTTGTGCAGGCTGTCATCCTAGAAACAGCAGTGTCACTGAGGCACTGTGGGAAGAGTTTCCAGGGGCCTCTGGCTGTTCCCATTCCGAGTTTTGTGACTTTCTTGCCAGGGTTGGCAGCACTGTGGCCCTCAGGACAAAATGTCAGTTCCTTGGGAAGAAAAGAACTTGGTAAAGCACCAGTGCTCCTGGAGGACATTGGAAACTCAGGTTTCTGGGCTTCTTTTGCTGTGTTTCTGGCTGAAGAGTTTAGGGTTCAGGAAAGCATGTTCCCGGGAACAGTCCTACTGGACCTGCTGGTGAGGGTGTCTGCTGTGCTGAGGTGGCAGTCACCCAGAACAATTTGAATTGCTTATCAGCCTCTAGGAGAGGGTTTATAGAACTCTTGTTATATTTGGGTCTTTTTCTTTTTTTTGAAACCACCATATAGTGCAGGCTGGCCTCAAGACTACCAGTAATCCTCCTGCCTCAGCCTCCCGAGTACTGGGAACACAGGTGTGTGATTCAGCCAACTTTGCCATCACGCCTTAACAGGGGCCCACCCTGGGTGCAGCCTGCTTTTCCGGGTCCAGCTGTCTGGTGCAGGTTTATGATGCTGAGTTGGTTTGTACAGGCCTTTGTTTTCTGATTTTTCCTTAACATTGGTCACTGAACCAGATGAGAACAATGATTTGGGTGCTGGAATGAATGCCAGTTCTGACAAATGTATCCTTCTCTCTTTGTCTAACTCCCCGTGTCTCTGAAGAGCCTGCTGGGGGTCATCTTTTATTCTGCCATCACTGCCATACTCCCTTTATCTTCAGGAACTTCTGTCAAATCAGCACCAGGAGCCCACCCTCAATGGCCCAGGTTGTCAGCTTGAGACAGTGGCAGCCACTTCCAGCATGCATGCTGCAGCCAGCTGCTTTTTATCACACAGTGCTCTGTGAAGCTGGCATCACTGCAGAAGCGCTTCCTGGCCAAGCGAGTCCTGGGCTCTAAGCAGGGCTGATTAGGAGGGAGGCTCTCCAGAGTACGTATGGCAGGGTGTGGATCTGGGTGGCCTGGTGCTGTGCAGAGACGGAACACTTTAAGCTGGAAATAACACAGCGAAACATCTGGGCTGAGGAAGGTCCCTCCCAACAGACTCACTTCCTGAGCCCCTGCCCAGAGACAACAGGCTTCTAAATCCAGCTGGGAGCTCAGGATGCCAAGTGGAAAACAGAGATGCTCACAGGGACCCTCAGCCATTAACTTTTGATACACTACGGCGTTGGTGCGTGTTAGGTACTTGCCTTACTTTTGAGCCTTAAAAGCATTAGGAAAAAAGTCATGTTTTTTTTTTTTTTTTTTTTCCGTTTTTATCAGTACCAGGGATCGAACTCATGACTGCACACTTGCAAGGCAGGCACTTATGCTGCTGAGCTAAATTCCCAGCCCCAAAAGTCATGTTTTAAGATAAGAGCATTAATAGGCCTTGTTTTTTAAAATTGTAAGAAATGGAAGTCAGGCATGGTGGTTCATGCTGGTAAACCCAGCACTTGGGAGGCTGAGGCAGCAGGATCACTGAGTTTGAGGTCAGCCTGAACACATAGTGAGACCCTGTGTTTTTTATTTTTCAAGAAACAAAACATAGATGTGAGTACAGTTTTTGGCTAGGTATTTTTCTTTTTCTTTTTTTTTTTTTTTTTTAATCGGACCAGGGATCAAACTTCCAACCACATGCTTGCAAAGCAGGTGCTTATGCCGCTGAGCTAAATCCCCAGGGCCCCCCCCCCCGCTTTTTTTTTTTTTTTTGGCTAGGTTTTTTTTTTTTTTTTCAATTTTTTTTGGTCTTTTTCCTTTTTATCGGTACCAGGGATCGAACTCACAACTGCCTACTTGCAAGGTAGGCACTTATGCCGCTGAGCTAAATCCCTAGCCCTGGCTAGGTATTTTCAACAACTGTTAAATTACTTTGTATCTCAAAGAAACCAACCAAACAAAACACCAAAACAAAGTGAAAGATGTTTTAGGACTATCCTGGTGGCATTAGGGTTTCTCTGTAGACTGAGAGAAGGCTGACATGTGAGGGACAGCAGGGTGAGGACGATGCTAGTTGGGTCCTCTGCCACCTGCATCTCATCCCTTAACTCACTTCAGCTCTGTTCCGCAACACCAACCTGGAAGACGTCCTCAGTGCTCAGAAGCTGGAGCGGGACTCACTTCGGGATGAGTCCCAAAGGAAGAAGGAGCAGGACAAACTCCAGAGGGAGAGGGACAGACTGGCCAAGCAGGAGCGCAAGGAAAAGGAGAGGAAAAGGACACAGAGAGGGGAGCGGAAACGATAACCTCGGGCAGCTCCGCTCGCCATGGTGGACTTGCGCCTGGGTGTGTGTAAGAAGACTGAGCACCTGGGCAGATGGTTTGTTTTCCACTGCTGTTTCCATGGCACAAAGGAAAATCCCAGTCCGCCCAGTCACGACAGGTGTGTGTTCGGTGGTCTGGGCAGTCACATTGCAGTTGATGTTCTCTACCAAAGACCTGGCATGGAGCAGCCTTCACATTTGAGTACTCAAGTCCCAGGCTCCTGTAGCTCCTTTCTAAAAGGGAGTCTTCCATGCATAAAGAGCGGGATTCAGGAAGTTGAGTCAGGTTTCATCCCAAAGGAGCGGAGCCTGGACCTCTGCTCTGCAGTGTGCAGTGTGAGCGTCCACTGCTCAGGGGGTGATGTTTACCCCAAATGTTATAGCTCCTGGTGGGGGTAGGAAGCCTGCTGAACCCTGAGTTCATAGTATGTGGCAGCAAGCTGTTTGATAAGGGAATGTTATAGATCTGAGACTGTTTCCTAAGAATGTTTCAGCTTAGCCGGGGATGTAGATCAGTAGCACTGTACCTGCCTGGTAAGCGCAGGGTCCAGAGTTCAATTCTTGGTACAAAGAAAAAGCTTCAGTTTACAGGAGAAAAAAAGTCTCTGAATGGAGACAGTTACACATTTTTCCTCATCTGCACAGTGACTTTTAGAAGAGTCAGTACTATGTGCAAGGATATCACTGTTAGCTAGATTAACTTTTTATAATCATGAATCTCCTTGAGTGCCAGTAGCTTTTATTCCTGATTTGCCCTAAATCATGCCTATGGAGGCTGCTAATTCCTGGTTTGGGAAACCCTCATAGGAAGAACACTGGGCCCCTTGGTGACACAGAGCTGTGTAGGACAGCACAGCTGGTCCAGCGAGGAGTGAGGGCTGGGGCCTGGGAGGCAGAGGCTGCAGGGCTTCCTCCTGAGGGTCATGATCACAGCCATGCCCGCCACAGGCCAGGCCCTTAGCTTTCTGATGCCAACAGGGCCCTGGGCTCAACAGACCACTCCCCAAGAGCCAACATGGCACCTTGTAGGGAGCCATTGAAGCTGGAGATCAGTCGTTCATGTGGGGCTAAAGCAAGGCCAGTCCTAAAAACAGAGAGCCCAAGACAAGCCCGGTAAATAAGCTGTTCCAGCTGGGAGAAGGCAAGGGACCCAGGCCAGCCAGGTACACAAGCTACTAGGCAGCGGGTTTGGAACTGACATCATTTGAGTGTATAAATAAACATGCCACAGTGGCTGAGCAGTCCCCCTGCTTTCCCGTCAGGAGAGGGTGCCACCTGACCTCAGCTTTTGTCTTCATTTTCTCATCCTTTCACTGTCCTCCCCAGGAACATCTAGAGCTGCAGCTGGTCGCAATGGCGCCTGGTTTTCATGGCATGGTGCAAGCTAAAAACAGTTTTTACATTTTTTTAAAGATTGTAAAAGAAACTGAGGGTCACAGGATTCAGCCCAGCCTGGGCAACTTAGTTATTTAGCCACAGCAGACCCCTGTCTCAAAATTTGAAGGACCAGGGGTGTAGCTCCATCCGGAGCTCCTGGGTTCAGACCCTAGTACTCCAGGAAAAAAACAAAAAGCATGTGAGATCACAGGTGATCTGTAAAATCTAAAATATTTACTACTTAGCTCTTGAAAGTTTGCTGAACTGTTTTATATCACTGCAAGATTAACAAGATCTTTACCTTTGTGCAGAAGGTTTTTTTAAAAGGCATGAGTAAAGAAGATACATTGCCTCTTCACAGTCCAGTAACCATGGCATTGCAAAAATCATCTTTTTTAAAAAAAAATAAACTATTTAAATCACTGTCTTCTGTTTGATTCTTTCCAGGTACTTGTGGAAATGAAGTCTGTGTGGACAGTCACTTAGAATGTTTTTACTTTATGCGTTTGTTTCATTAGCCCTAGAACCTCTGCCTGGAATCCATAAATTGTTTTTCTCAGATTTCATTCTGTGGAGGGCAGGAGAACAGACAGAATGTTTTGCTTTTTGGAAAGTAAGTAAATTTGCTTTGAAATCTCCTGAGTTTCTAGTGAGGTTTAGTTCTTTACTGGGTGATAGGAATAGGTGGTGGCATCAGAGCCTGTTTTGGGGGTTTGGTTCTCAGCTTGGTCTCTGAAGGAGTCAAATGATACCCATGCACTTCTCAAGGGTATTTATTTTGATTTGTTAATAATTGATTCTTTTGGGACTGTTCCGTATGTCAGTTAGTGTACATTCAAACTAGTGCTTCAGCAGAGTCGGCTTGTTAGGCTTTGAGTATGATCGCCCACTCAGGTGACAGTGAGTCCTTTCCATCTGAAATGTTCAGTATTGCAAACAGCCATATCTTCAGGGGGAAGACTGAGGGTTAGGCTGGGTGTCATGGCACAGGCTGTAATCCTAGCATTTGTGAGACCCTGAGGCAGGTGGCTCACTGGGAGTTCCAGGCCAGCCTGGGCTCCACAGTGAGTTCAAGGCCAACCTGAACTATATAGTGAGACCCTGTCTCAAAAAAAAAATTGAAATACAATAATTGAGTTATAAGCCAAACTTGAGATTTCAGTCCTAACTTTCCCAACCAACCCTCAAACTTTATATAGTACATTATTCAGCTTTTTTAAAAAAATTTTTTATCGGTACCAGGGATCGAACTCACGACTGCCTGCTTGCAAGGCAGACGCTTATGCCGCTGAGCTAAATCCCCAGCCCCCTGAGTTCTGTTCTTGATGCCAAAAAATACGTGTGTGTGTGTGTGTGTGTGTGTGTGTGTGTGTGTGTATGTTAATACTGTTTTTTTTTTCCATAAAATGAATACATCAAATTTCTTTTTTTTTTTTTTAATTGGTACTGGTGATCTAACTTGCAACCGACCACGCACTTGCAAGGCAGGCACTTATGCTGCTGAGCTAAATCCCCAGTCCCCAAATTTCAATTAGAAATGGTGGAAACACCAGCTTTACCAGTTTCACTGCAGATTTTATGTGATTTTTATTACTATTTTTTTGGTGGTACTAGCAACTGAATGCAAGGCATTTGCACTGAAGCACACCTCTAGCCTTTTTTATTTTCTGTTTTGAGGTAGGCTCCTGCTGAATGGCTAAGTTGCCAAAGTTGAGCTTGAACTCAATGGTCTCCTGCCTTAGCCTCAGAAGTGTTTAGAGGTGTGTGCCACCGTGCCTGGCTATGTGTATGTCTCTGTAGGTTGTGCTTCAGAAGTATGTGCTATGCAAGCACCATCCATCACATACTACACAGTAGAAAGGAACAACCCATTAATAGAACTAGCTACTGAGGCCTTGTGATTTTTTTCTTTTCTTTTTTACAGTGTTCTGTTTTTGTAAATGGACTAGTTTAATTTCTGATGTCATATTAGAATTTCTCTCAAAATTTTATTTAGTTTGCCTAGGTTAGTGTAAAGGTAATAAAAATGTATTTTTGAAGGTCATCATGTGGGATTCAAGTATATCTGAAGGCCATCAATTTATCTACCAACACTTATTTAATTAAATGTAAAACATTCTTATCAGTTAAATTTTCTGACATGAATAACAGGATTAGAAACTAACGCAAATATAAAAAGAAACCAAATATTTTCAACAATTTATTCTTTTCCTGAGACTGAATTCAGTACAATATTTGTTTTCATAGCATCTAACATGTCTCACGTCAAACTTAACCACTTGCTGTGCAGTGACTGGTGGGGTGATCTATTTTATTTGACTACCCTCATGCAATTCATTTGAGTAGTTCTATGGCTTATCAGTGATCAAAATGTTTCTCCCTACAGTTACTTCTGCATTTGTAAGCAGTTTCTTCCACACATCATCTAAAGAAAATTTATGTGGTGTGATTACACTTTCTTTTTAAAAAATACCAGATTTCTAAAACTAAGAAAAACAACATTTAAAACATCAGTGTTTCTGATTAAGGATACAATTAAATTTCATCAGGACATTATATTATAATTTAACTCATGCTAGAAATGTTAAAACCCAAGATCTTCTGAGTCACATAATACCAACATTTCATATTAATGAATAAATTACTTGGGTTCCATAACAGAGATATTTAGGAATGCGAAAAAGTCAAGCTTTCAAGTACTGTTTTTTAAAAAAACACAGAAGCAAACCAATGAACACAACTAATCCCCAGCCCCATCTACACAAAATATATAAGAACCAAATGCAAAACTAAACTAGTTAAGGATTAACCTTAAAAAAATTACATTTTAGAACTTCGTGATACCCCATAGAAGACAGCCAACTAAGGGTATTAAAACAAGTCATTATTTTAGTGACTGCAAATCTAGTCTAAAAGATCCAGATAAAGGAATTGTTTTGATTCAATTTAAATACTTTAAAATTAGAAATAATACTTAATAGTATACATTTTAACTTTAAGATTAGAAATTATTAATACTTAATGGTATAAATTTTAAAGAATATACACAAATGATTTGAACAGGTTTTATATCCAATAACTTGCATGGTTTTCACACTGGCACTATCACTAATTTAGGAGAATCAGATGCATTTCCCTCCACATTGCACTAAGATTTCAAATTTATACATATGGTAGTATTTTTAAATTTTTACATGAATATTTGGACTTATCCCTGTTTTCTTTGTCTCTCAGGTTTATCCAGTTTTGTAAGAAAAACATTTTTATATCACAATCAACATTTTCTTGCTTACTAGGCTGTAGCCATAATTGGGTTACAGTCACTTAAGATTCATTATTTGGAATTGTATTTACTAAGGCAGAACTAAATGAAGAATTTAATATTTGCATTTACCTGCACTGCAGAATGAACTTACTATTTTAGCTGTTAAATATTTAATTTGCTCAAAGAAACTTGTTATCTTGGACTACTCAGAACTCCTAGAGTAGTCAACTATATCTCTGAATTCACTTTATATCTCATTCATTCTAAATAGATTTTTAAATAGAAGTTGGACTTCATTAAGGTATTAACTAAATTGAAGAGAAAATTAATGTACTGTAGTTTGACAAGTTCATTAAAAACTGTTAGCACGTCTTGATACATTTACTTATCAGCTTTCCCTTCTTCCCTCTGCGGCTTCCTTCCTGTTTGTCTGTGTCACTTCTCTGGCTCATGGCATTGCTGCTGTTCACTCTCATGGACCATGTCATCAGTTTGCCATGTCCTGTAAAGCTTTCTCTGCATCTGTTTGGCCAGCTGTGTTCACTGTCTTCGGCAAGGTCATCTGCAGTGCACACCACAGGGTTGTGCGTGCTTTCCGAGTAGCCACACACATCTCTTTAATTGCTGAAGCAAGGGCAAAAACATCTGTAAAAGAAATAGGGAGGGCCATTTCATATAGGTACCACTTCATTATCCCTAAATTCATGCAGTCCAGTGTTGCTACTAAATGATCAGATATGATTTTTGTAAAAATGGGTCAGCCAGACATGGTGGCATACACCTTTGATCCCAGCACTTGAAAGGCTGAGGCAGGAGGATTGCCATGAATTTGAGGCTGGCCTGAAATACAGTGAAACTATGTTTCCAAAAAAAAGGAAGAAAAATGGCTATTGATTAAGCTAACCGAAGTATTTTGTATACTTACTTGTATGACAATGCTTTAGGCAAAACAGACTATCTTAAGATGGGTATTACAATTGAATGAAATTTTAAAAATAGAACCATATATCTTTGGAATATATGTGTGGATCACCTGGCAGTCTGTTCTTTAGATAAATGTTAATTTTACAAATCTAATCTTTTAATCTCAGTCTGATTTTAAAATATCCAAGTTATCACACTGCCTTATTAAAGGGTATACATTAATGTTCCTACCTCTGTCATCCTGGCATCTTGGTACTCCTTGCCTTTGCCGATTTGAAGTGTTAACAATCTCATCCTTTCTGCGCGACTGGACGATGTGAATGGACTCCAAGTGTCTATCAAGAGCGGTAGAGATGTTGGCGTGAAGGGGAGAGCTCCGGAGGCGCTCCATTTTGCCCAGTAATGTCATGACCTGAGGAGAATGTTTCATGTTTTAAGACATGTACTTCTACTGTCACACCACCTCAAGTATAAACATATCTTCAGCAAAAGCACAAAGGAGATATGAGCAGCAACAGCCATTTGGTAAACAAATGCTTACTCTACTATACCATCAGGGTAGGGATAAAAAGAAAATCAGACTTTTATACCTACTTGTGTACGTTCATTCTACAAACAGAAGATCTGATACTGCTTTTGATAAATAACAGTCTGCAAATAGAGTACTGCTAGGAGGTATAACCATCTGAGGGGAAGAATTCCAGTTAAGGAAGATGTATTTACTTCTAACCTCAACAAATCCTGGGTCATATGCTTCCCTTGTGGAAATCAAAAATGTTCAGATAGTAGTACTAAGACATTTTAATTTTAATTTTTTGGTACCAGGGATCAATACTAAGACTATTTTAAGGAACTGATAATACAGAAAGTCTTAATTTAAATTTATGCTGAAATAATACAAAAGTCCTGTAGTTGTCAAAACTGCTAAAGAAAATTAGGAAGCTCTCAATCCTCATTAATGAAGTTTAAAGCCAAATGTGGAAGGGGGCTGGGGATTTAGCTCAGCAGTCCTGAGTTCAATCCCTGGTACAAAAAAAAAAAAAAAGCCAGATGTGGTAGCGCAGTCCTACAATCCCAGCACTCAGGGAGCCCGAGGCAGGAGGATCACTCAGCCTGGGTAATTTAGCAAGACCCTGGTCTCAAAATTAAAAACAAAACAAGCAACAACAACAACAGGACTGGAGATTCAGCTTGCTGTGAAGGCCTTGGGTTCAGTGTCCAGTACCAGCAAAAA